CAAAGCTTTTGTAAAAACATTTTGGCACAAATTGTTACTGGCCCAAAAAATCCTAACGGATCAAAGGCACGCGCAATATCTGACAGTACAGTAGTTTTGGTAAACGGTGTAACTGGTTCTGCAATATTTAATTTAAGTTCAAATACATCATCACGAGAGTTCCATCGAACTCCTAAAGCCTTAATTGTATCATCCATTATAATATTAACATTTTTTTGTGTGTTCTGATTTGACTTTGGAATTTCACCTAAAACTACTGGACTGTTAGAGGCCCATTTGTGCATCTCAAATTTACCTCTAGCCATAATTTCTGTGATTAATTTATGTAGATTTATTGCATCCTCCTCGCTGTTCGCACCGGTTAGCAAATCATCCATATAAAAATCATTGTTTATGATGTTAATAACTAAATCAGGAAAGTGTGGTTTCTCATCTTGGGCTAGTTGTTTAAGTGTACGAATAGCGAGAAACGGAGCACATGAGGTACCATACGTTACAGTGAGTAGACGTTTTTCTTTGATGTCATCGTGCGGAGAAGCGCGCCACAAAATGCGCTGGTAGTCCACATCATCTTTAGAAACCATGATTTGGCGATACATCTGTTTGACATCAGCGAGTAGACATATCTTGTGTGTACGCCAACGAATAATGAGATCTCGAAGATCTTGCTGTAGTGCTGGGCCGACAAGCAACTCATCATTAAGAGCTTTTCCAATTCGAGGTTTGGCAGTTCCATCGAAAACCACTCGTAACTTAGTAGTAGTGCTGGATTCTCTAATTACAGCGTGGTGAGGCAGATAATAGACTTTGTGAATTGGCATATTTTGTGAGTCTACATCCTCCATGTGGTTTTGTTTTTGATATTCATTAATGAAATCTACGTAATCTTGTCGGAATTCAGGCTTTTGTGCAAATCTTTTCTCCATTTGTAGCAATCTGTGTCGAGCAAGTTGTCGTGTGTCACCTAAATTTGTGTCATGGGAGTCTCGAAATGGTAGTTTAACAATATAGCGTCCATCTTTATTTCTCGTATGTGTGTCCTTATAGTGTTGTTCACATTGTAAGTCTTGTTGTGTCATAGGTTTCTTTTGTGGTTGATACTCTTCAGTTTCCCAAAACTTTCGTAGCATTTGATCTATTTCAATTAGTGTAGTTGAAACTGTTATATGGGGTGTAGATGATTCAGTTTGATTTTTTGTTGTTCCAGATATCAACCATCCTAATTGTGAGTTTTGAGCAATAAGAGAACCGTGCTTCTGTAATCCTTGAAGTAAAATAGATGCATACACTTCAGCACCCAGTAAGACATCAATAGGTCCAGGTCTATACATGTGAGGGTCTGCTAATTTGATTTTAGAGAGACCTGGCCATTTTGTTATATCCAGTGTTTTAGTAGGTAGTAATGGTGTTAGCTTCGTGAGCACATGTGCATTAGTCAACATGACATGTTTCGAATCTGTGGCAGAATGAATGTTCAGCTGTACTATATGTCGCGCTTTTATTGTGTTATTTCCTATACCAGTAACTTTAGCTTCTAATGGAGTCTTTTTTAAGCCAAGCAGTTGAACGACAGATTCTGTAATGAATGTCGCCTGAGAACCTTGATCCACTAGAGCTCGTAAACATACAGCATCACCATTCTTATCCATGATATTGATTTGTGCAGTGGCAAGTACTACTTGATTATCACTTACAGAGACCTTGAAACTAGTGGTTATTTCTTCTTGTGGTTGTGAGTCTATTAAATTTTCATTTTCTGTGTCCGTCTCTTCTGTGCACATAGTTTTCGTTGTCACACTTGCACAATGCAGTAGAGTATGATGCTTACGGTTACATATTCTACAAGACGTATTTTGTCTACAGTGTTTGATGGAATGACCTTTCACTAAGCAGTTGAAACATAGGTTGTTATTTTTAACAAATTCTTTACGTTGATCTATATCTAATTGTGCAAATTCTGGGCAGTGGCAGATGTAGTGATTTCTTTTACAATAAGTGCATTCCGTATTTATTTCAGTAGAAAATGACTTAATATTCTTAGTTTTAGGTTGAAGATACAAGGTATGTTGTGAAGGCTCTTTTCTATCTCGTTTCTGTGTTGTTAGTATCATTTCCATTGCTCTAAATCGCCCTTCAAGGTATGAAGTCAGTTGTGAGTATGTTGGTAATTCTGTGGATGCCCCGAGTGATTGTTCCCAACATTTGTGAGTTTCTATATCTAACTTCGAGACAACGAGATGAATAATAAAAGGATCCCAGTTCACTGTGTCTATATCCAAATTACCTAGACTGTTAAGACATTCATTGGTGGTGTCTAGAAGATCTTTTATTCCATTTGGACATTCACTCGTGAGTTTTCTTTGATTAAGCAAACGATTTAATAAGGTGTTAACAATTATTCTTTTATTACTGTATCTTTTCACTAAAGCATCCCATGCTTTCTGATAGTTAACCGCTGTGATATCAAAGTGATGTAGAAGTTGCTCTGCTTCTCCTTTCAAACTTGACCTCAGATAATGATGTTTTTGTATATCACTTAAGCCTTCATCATTGTCTATCAGTGAGGTAAACAAATCTTTAAAGTGAATCCAATCGCGATAGTTTCCAGTAAATGTAGGAAGATTTATGGCTGGTAGTTTAGTTGGTGTGACAGTTGTTGAGACAGTTTTTGTTGAATTATTATTTAACTGACTATTCTGAGAAGCAATGTGTTCTTTCAACGTGGTTTTAAACTCCAAATATAATTCTTCTGTTTTAATATATATATCTCTAATTTTTTCTTTATCTTCTTTGGTAATACTTTTATTTTTTAATGCATCTCTGTGCTCTGTCGAAAATTTTTGCCAATATTCTTCTATAATTTCTTTTCTAGCTTCTAAAAAACTTATCGTATATCGAGATGTTGATGTTTTCTTAAAGTTCGTGTATACTCTGTTCAATTGAGAATGAAGATCTTCTTGAAGTTCCAAAGTAGACATTTTGTAATTAAATGCATAAATAAATTCGCTATTATATAATGAATAACTCAACGTTCATCAATATAGTGAGTATGTATAATCTTATAGTACATACGTAAGTATAATCTTCGAAAATCTACTTAAAATAAGTATTCAAACTGTTTATTCACCCAGCTTAAATCCTTGTATGTGTTTTATCTATGTGTTCAATAACAACTGTAAATCTTGAAACTAATGTAAATTTTCAAAGTCCTCTTATAACGTAATATCACTAAATCTTTATGTTTATTAATTACACTTCATGTTTGAGTCACTGTATTCACAATTATCCGACTTTGCAAGGACCATATGTTCACTACATTAAATTAAAACCACTGCCTATTTATTGTATTACTGTTTTTATTCGCCATATATTTTACATACAAGAGAAAAAAACAAAACACTAGTTGACATTTAAAAAAACAAAGTTTCATATATAACCAAAGAGGTTTTAAAACATGTAATGATAATGAAACTCTTAAGATAGATATAGGTACTCGGAATATTGAACAATGCTTTTTGAAATTATGACAAATGAGTGTTAAAAATTAGGGATTTTACCGGTTATTCTTAATAAATATAGGCTTTTTCAATATTATAGCCAACAAAAATATGCAATTCATTAATTATGCTTATCAAAATTATACATTTCTATTAGTATGCCTTACAGATTTCAGCCATATAATGTTATGCGTCATGAAATTATGCTATAATGGCTTATGGCAAGTGACTGTTATGACCAGTAATATTATGAATTGTCAATTTATGACGAAAAACGTTATGCGTTTCAATAGATAACACATATTGCACTTTTTAGAGACAGTATTGTGAACTTGTTTTAAGTGACCCTATTTCTCTTTTTGATCACAGTGTTTTGGACAATATTTGTTTTGTCCACAATCAATTTGATATTGAGAATTTATTGTAAGATTCGCGTTTTTTAATTAAAAGCGTAATTCAAATATTTAATCTTCTTATCGTCAATATCAACAGCGGTATTTTAAAAGTACTTCAATAAGCCGACTCCTTGGCGGAAGATTATTATAACAACGAATTGTTTATCGGAAAAAAGTGGATAACTTTTTATGTTCGCTATCGAATTCCTTATCAAAAATGTGATACTTAATTCATTATTACTACTCGAAATTAAGTGCCGGATTGCCTTTATTTTTCCTTATAAGACATTTAATCCAATTAGTTGACAATAACTATATTTTTTGTGGATCGATAAATATATTGAAAACAGTGATAAAGCATTTATTATTAACAGACTATTTATTTATGAGTAAAATTTTAAAAGACTACTAAATTAGGTAATTTGAAATAATCATTAGGTTAAAAAAGCAACAGCTGTCCTAAGACTTGCGGCTCTACCGGGTAACTGATGCCTTGATTGGCATTCTATTGAACCTGAATGATCTAGCCGGCTGACAGATCAACTTTCAGCAGGCCAATTGGGATTTGTCTAGGATTGGCCAGATATTCACAGTGCTATTAATAAACAAGGTTTAGCGTCAGATCAAATTCTTATTATACAGAGAATAAGCAGAACTAATACCTTCTATGAGTAATTATTGCTCCCGTAGAACCTCGTACTAGGTTAACCTTTGCCAAGTCTATGTTTAGTAATATGAATTTTGACTAATACTAAGTGTAGTCTCAGCGTAAATTTACTCCAACGCTAAACCTTGTTTATTAAAACACTGTCAGGGCTTAAGGTTACAATGAAACGCATTTAAAATATATGCATAATTAACATAAATATATCCACATTCATTTGTATCGACTTCAATACACTCTGAAACAACAATCTGCTGAAGTTAAAAGGCTAATAATGTGGGTGTGGGTTGGGGGGGGGGGGCAGATTGTACTCTATTGTCACGTAATAACATTCTTTTAACATTGCCTCAACTTCAGCAACCTTCAGATCAACCATATAATACAACAATTTAAGATTCACCCTTGCTAGCTACACCATTTTGAACTACCTGCATACAGTATACCTACGCAAGAACTCAAAGACATAATCTGGTTTCAAAACAGATACGGTCCTGGTACAAATGACGATGAAGCTGTTCTCTCTTCGTCCTCTTTCTGTGCGACGTAGTCTTCTCTACTGAACTAGGAGGCTTTCTTTTCACTATGAAGTGGTAGGGTTTCATCGTTGTAGTCTATACTTCCTATCAAAACAGGATCGACGCCATTCTCCTCGTACCCTTGCTGTGGCATCGGCAGCTCTCTCTTCTCTAACTCCTCGGACAAAGCCATGAACAGTTGCCTGTTGGGTTTTATTAAAAATGAAACTTATGTACACAAGAAACATATTTAAAACTATTAAAGTGTCTGATGTTTCCAATTAAATGTTGAAAAACGCTGTTCACCTCATACAATTGTCATTTAATAGTAACAATATTAACACAAGATAAGATTTAACTTAAATAATGCATTGATAAGATTGGTACTAATAAAGTGGAACTTATTACAGATTACTTACTTGAACACGACTCCGCTCATGTTTTTAGCGAGATAGTACAGAAATAGCCAGTCAGCGAAATGGTAGCCGTTGACGACACGGATGACGTTGTTAGGGTTGAACTTGCCAGCTGACGCTCTCTTGAATACTATATCATTGAAACGGTGTGACCGTCTGTATAAAAAGAAAGACAGCGCTCGCCAAATCACAGCTGGAAAGAAAAGTGAGAATTGAAAAACAAATGAGCTGATTATTCTGTATAGAGGACCAGAATGCCGACTCTGTAAATCCAGACGACTTTATCTGGATCACTCCGTTATTCAATCTTACTTCTCAAGAGTGTATAATATTAACAGTTAACCCCACAATAAATTTTAAATTGTTTTCTATTCATATTTTTTCAATATCTATTTGTTATGTAATTTCAAACTACATTAATATTTGCCTGAATATACTATGGAGTGTAATTAATAACAAATTGACCAAAATAAAGCTTTAATAGCACAAATTGTCCAAAATTTAATAGGAGGTAAAATGTAGCCTCAGCTAGAAGAGGCCATCCAAGCAAAGGCTAGGACTTAATAAAGCCATAGGCCTCAAGCGAAATAGTTATGCCATTGCCTACAGAATTCTAATTGAACATTTAATTTAAACTAAATATAGCAATACATTTATTAAGTAATAATTTAATGTCAACATACCAAGCACTGAGGCAATAAAAAGGAAGAGCAACCAGAACCAGAGGATAGTGTAGATCTTCTCGTGAATGATATTGAGCGCCATCACGCATAACGCGTCGTGCTGCTGAATGGAACCACTCGGACCGTACTTGTGAAACACGCATTTTGTTACCTGCATCAAATAGCATATTTGACTTCATATTTCATATAGATTACTATATTTTTTGTCTGTCCGTCAGGGAGATTATTGAAGAATATTAAACATGTTTTTTCTTTTGCGTATTGACTGTATTGACATTACGGCGATACATTGAATTGAAAAGTCGCTTTTTTTTCGACCCTTGCTTCCATGGATTTTAGCCGGAAAAGTCGCATGAGTCACACACATAGACTAGAGGAAGATACTAGTCACACCTTTGTAAAAGCGAAAAAAACATCGTTAACAAATTTTCTATTATCTGACTGACGGAATAAATATGAATTCTTTTTTTTTAACTGCGCTGGCTTCAATAACGAGTTTAAGGGTGTTTTTTAACAGGTTAGCATAGCTGGTCTCTCTCAATATATATTTTCATACTACTTCTCGTTTGTAAATACACTACATAGGAAATACATACCTTAGGAAATACAGTTTCTAACGGATCAGCAATGTTATCCCAATTCCTGAATTGCAGCACTCTGGGGCCGAGATCAATAAAGTGACCCTGAAGGAATCTATCGATGAGCCAGATTTGAAACATCACATGCAGAAGGTTCGCCACTTCCATCGAGACTAGCCACGTTGACCATGTTCGTGATATACGCAGCCTGAAGAAATTGCTTATTATGATAAGGTTTTCATAAAATTTTCTCACTTTCTAATGTTAAAACTACTACACATACTATAAAACGAGCAAACGAAACTTCAATATTTATTTTCCTTGAGTGATAACCTCAAGGAAAATAAAAAGATGTGTGAAAACAGAGCTATGAATATGTTATACAAATCAATCCTACCTCAAAACGATATCTTTCTTGATGAGATTTATTTTATTATCAAGTGTTGTTCTTGAAGGTACCATCTTCCCTGCCACCTGCATATCTTCATCTTCTAGTGCCAGAGCGGCGTACTGTAGACCGTCTACAAGGGCCTTTATTCTGCCTCCTACATTTTGCCAAATATTACGATTACATACAAATCTTAGTTTTTTACTTTAATATATCAAAGTAACAAAATAATATTTTTTGAACTATGAATGACCACAAATATTTATTTTAGAAGGGAAAATATGTTATAACACATATTAACCAGTAACTTAATAAAGTAACAGACAAGTCAATACTTGGTTGCTAAAAGAATTATCTCGAAAGTATAAAAATATATTGAGTAAACAATATGGAATCTAAATTTAAGAGGACTGCACTCAAATAGAAGATAAGATAATCTGGTGCATTTAGAATGTAACGAATTTTCCCAAAAAAAAGAAGTGCATATTCTAATCCCTTCTCATCATCTTGTGCTCACCTTCCTTCTTCTTCCATATATAATGTGGTAGATAAAAGCAAATGGCCTGTATGAACAAAACGAACGGGACCCATTGATAATACGTGTGGTGGAGGACCTCGTCTGTTGAGGATATCGGCCCGACGCCCGGGTGCGGCAGGAAGCCTGTCTGCAGGAGACTCTCGTTGTAGTGACGCACCTGTATCATACAAAACCAAAGTATTTTAGATTCAAGCCGACATCTTTACATCAGATCCCTTGCGTCTTAGGTTTTCTTAACATTCATAAATCTTTTCATACGTGCTCGCCGGATTTATATACCATCTGCCATCACTCTCTAAGATAATGATAACATACGATCATTTTCAATCGGTATTCGCGTTGTTTCAGCTTAGTCATTCTTTAGTCAGTCTTGTATTTTTTCACGTGCTTAATTCGTTTTGCTCAATGAACCTCTAGGATATTAAATAAGAAATGTATGAAACGGATATAAGTTTTATTCCACTACTACCTTAACAGTCAAAACCATTACAATAATTATAAAATGCGCAGAATCCGGCTTTTGCTAAATACTGACATACATATACATTTGTCCATTTTTACTGCAAAATAAAAATTACCTGAATGAATTAAAATCAGGTCAATTAGTAAACTTTTCTCGAAAAATTTTATTACACGTATTTTTTCAGCGTTAGCAAATTTCTTGTCGGTTAATCTCAATACAGGTAAGGTTCAAAGAACCGATCACGTAATTTTTCTAATTTATTTTTATCTTTACTAGACTATCACAATTGTGCTTTTCCTAATATGTTAGCGTTAGATACTGAAATCATAATTAAACTTACTATAGTAAAGGTAGCCATGAAGAAACAATACGTCTGGATAACGTTTGGCGGCACACCCTGATCAGATATACACTGGATATGGTAACCGAAGTACTCCCTGGCGCAGACAAGAATCACGAAGGCTAGCAAGATGGTCACAGTCAGCTGATAGTGCAGTTTGAATACTATATTTTCAATCTTGGGCTTTGAAAATTTGAATTGAATGTGCGGCGAGAGTGCACGTATCGTCGTGAAGACTGGCATAGACATTTTGAAGTATCTGAAAGAGTGGTCCAGATTTCTTCTTTTAAATAAACATTCGACTAGATACCTCCAAAATTTCCTGTGTATAACGCGATCCCATCCTCTCAGTTCAATTGAGTTTTATATTTTATATTTTTCTTTGTCTGCTCACATTAGTATAATAAATTTACTGTGAAAGCTCCTTAGTTCCCAATTATATCAGCTAATATATAAACTGATATACGTAATCGAGATCGGAAATTCATTAACGAACTATTAAACTTCTTACTATTTCAATTATACGATCGATTAACTAGTAGAATCATACGATGCTAATTTTTATATATTGTAGGTGGCTTTTTACCACTCGCACATTTAAAAACAACGGATCTTGGACTGTAATCATAATTGCAAATAAATGAAGAATATAAAAAAATATAATATTAAATATTTTTACCAAATCACTTCACTGAAATTCCTATAACCGTCTTATCTTCAGCCACTTCAAAAGACCTATTGTATTACTGAACCAATCATTACACTTAAAACAACACCTGGAGTATCACGACTGAATGTTCTCACACAACTGCCATTGTCGTAATGCGCCGTATAAAAGTGATAAGATATATCTTTTATCTATCAATCTATCTATATCTTAACTCTAAATCTCTTACAGGGTAGACTTAAAGTACCGGCACACCAAAGCACAGTCACTACACATCATTTTCACTTAATCAACGTTGATAGCTATTTTCAACGTACTCGCCGGTTTTTGGCTTCTGACATCAGCTTCCTAAAGCACAGTATTCCACATTTTTATCAGTATTTTTTTACATATCTCTACTTATTTTACATTAATTACTACATTAATTTGTTTGTATTTCTGGAGTATCCACAGTCTTCAGGTTTTTCGTAATAACATTTATGAGCTGGATGGACACTTAACCCGCAGTCTAGTCGCCTGTCTAGCTATTACCGTAGTTATAACTATGAAAACGGTTTATTGATGTTATAAATTGATCATTTTCAATTTTTTTATAATAATTATGTCTGATCTATTTTTCATTCACAATGCTGTACAGAAAAATATTTTTCCCCGGTCCCATCTCAGAGTACCTGGGGCAAGTGGATATTTCAAACATTTTTCATTATGAATATTATTTTATAATGTTATTATTTAATTATTGACATATTCAATCAATGGTTTCGACTGTTTTCTAATTAAATTAAGTATGAAATTAAAAAAGATATGATCAAAAATAGAATTTAAACAAACTAGACTAAAAATGAATAAAAAAGCCTTATCGCTATAAAATAATGTGAATTGCTAAATCAATAAAATGTTCTTATAAATTAGGCTACAGATCGAAAAGCCGCACTTATTGTTTTTAATGGAGTTCTAAATTACTCTCTTAAAAAAAGTAACGTTAAGCCAAAATACTGTCTGTACTGTCTATTGCAATGAGATAGATAGGTATATATTTTTTGTATATAAAAGAGAATGATTACATGAATATATGGAAATAAAATGTTTCTTTTTTTACTATAGAGTTTTTTTTATTCACCATTTTGAAAAACGTTGAGAAATATCGTGTAGCTTTGTCAATTTTAATTCAAACTTATTTAGACGGTATGTATTTTGTTTTTACAAAACCAGTTGAAACTAAGATATTTTGGATGTACGCACCCTTTTAAATATAAATTCAATAGACGGCCGAGGTTTCCATGGTATTGACGACTTTGGGTTTTCCGTTATTTTATTGTTAATAGATATTGGAGTATACAGATGTATCTCAGCCTGCATCTACCGGTCATATACCGGCGATCAGAAGATAACCAGCCTCATGACATGAACTCATTTAAACGGCATATTCATCCCAAGCGAGGCACAGTACCGGGCACGAAACTAAACCAAAATACGGAATTCTTGCGGCTGTCCCAGTTCAAAACCTAGTAACTGTTTTGGACTAAATTTTACAGGAGAGCAAAAAATTTTTGTTTGAGTATTTGTGTTTCATTAGGCGGCATTCATTTGTTTTTTTTTCTTCTATTTGTCCTATTTACGTCACCCAGTATTAAAATTGGAAAAATTGAAATATCGTGTTATTTACGAGTACGAGTTCCACCATGGCACCAGTGCTGCGGAAACGGCTCGAAGGGTTAATGATGTGTATGGCGGTTGTGTCGCAAAAGAAAACACAGTACGTTTTTGGTTCCAACGTTTTCGTTCTGGAAATTTCGAGCCTCATGGACGGCCGGAGACCCAAGCTTATAATGAAGAATTGAAGGGTATTGTGAAAGCGGATCCATCGAAAACCAAGTCCGACTTAGCTGCAGGCTGCGGTGTTAGTCATAGAACTGTTTTAATCCACTTGAAGCAAATTGGAAAGATTAAAAAGCTTAAAAGGTGGGTACCTCACGAATTGAGAGAAGCCAACCGGTAAACGCGCTTCGACTGTGTTTTAACTGGCACAATAATGAAGGGTTTTTAAATCGAATCATTACCTGCGATGAAAAGTCGATTTTCTACGATAATCGGAAGCACTCATCGCAATGTTTGGACCTTGGCATGCCAGCCAAATCCTGCCCCAAACGAAAATTGACCCCAAAAAGTTACTTGTAAGCATTCGGTGCAGTAGTGCCGGTGTCGTTCATTAGAGTTTTCTCAAATCTGGCCAGACGATTACGGCAGACGTCTATTGTCAGCAAGTGCAAACCATGCTGGAAAAACTAGCTGTTAAACAACCGAGGCTGGTCAATCGCTCTACGCCACTGCTACTTCACGATAACGCTAGACCACCCGTTGAACAACAGACGGCTACCAAATTAGAAGAGCTTCAATTGGAATGTCTAAGACATCTACCATACGCCCCGGACCTTGCTCCAAAGATTACCATTTTTTTCGAAATTTGGATAACTTCTTGCAAGAAAAAAAAATCAACTCCGATGGGGCAGTGCAAATCGCCTTCAAAGATTTTATTGATTCCCGTCCGAATGGTTTTTTAGTAAGGGGATCAATGACCTACCTATGAGATGACAAAAGTGCATAGATAACAATGGTTTATTAAATAAATATAGTATATTAAAAAATATTCGATTTTTTGTTGATGCCATACCAAACACCAATTTCATATGTAAGGACCTAATATATTGTAATGGGGGCAAAACATTATATTTAAAGTTATTAAACGGCGACTTGTGATTTCATCTACGTGGACTCTTCGACACTGACTGAGCTTTCGACTACCGACTATAAGTTGTGAACATTAACACATAATGTTGATGAAGAGATTATAATAACTCGGTTCTATATTTCTCTCAGTGTAATTTATATATGCATATTTGTCCTGTTTTATTGAATAAATAAAATAAATTTAAGTCTTCTTTAGAATGAGTTTTTAATTTCCGCTAATATAGCTCCCAATAATTAATGTAATTTGAAGTTACAGTGGTTTTAAGTTAAATACTCAAAGTGGGCATAAGTTAGACGACATAAGTTTGGGAACCCCTGATCTAGTCTATGGTTCCTTTACTAATTTAACTTTTTCTTGATGTTCTTTTTGTTAAGTCGAAATATCTTCTGGCACTTCAGTACCTTTATGTGTATTTCTCTTATATTTATCTATTGGCATATTAAATGAAATATGTATATAATATAATATAATCTTTTAATTGTTTGTCGATAAACTTCTACACTACAGCGAAAATCTTTACTACTACTATAAACTTAGTTAGCAAAACTTAGTAACTCAATATTATAATGTCTTACGAAAACCACAAAATATTGTTTCTATACATTTATTCACTTCATAACCCAGTAACTAGATTTGACAATTTCAAAAACCTAGTATGTGCGAACACATACTAGAGTTTTGAAATAGTTAAAGATACATACTAGGTTTTATAATGGTTAAAACTTAACTTATCATAAATTTAGAAGCACTAACTAGGTTTAGGGTACCCTATAACTATTGATAGAAGTGAATTTTGATATAGGGCATTTTGGCATCTTGTGGGGACTTATTGGAAAACCACTTTTAACAAAAAAACACAATTTCTACTTTTTGTAGACTTACTAGGTTTTGAAACGGGACAGCCGCTTGTATTGCTTAATTAATATAAATCACCCGAATTTCATAAACATTTCTTGAATATATTAACAGTCTTGTTTTAAATATTAGTTTTTCTATCTTCAGATTTTTGAAATCTGTTATTTTTTTAATATTTTTAGTTTCTGCAAATCGATTTACTTTCATGCCGGGTAGTTAACCCGACGACAGCTTGCTTTCCCCAGGGTATTTAAATGCTACGCTCACGGGTAGTTTTGCCTACCTAACTTTACGAAAAAGAAATCAAGAAGGAAAACTAAAAATTATGTTGACTATCGAATTTCTTTTTCTATTTTATCCATTATAACTTATTGAAATTAATCCCTTGATAGCTTTTATTTTAAGCAAACAATATATATTTGTTTTTTAATCGATAAAGAAAACCAAATAAAGTTTTCAAATATTTATTATGAACATTTCTGGGTATTTGTTAAACTTAAATATAAAGACTAGAAAATTTTCTTATTTTCTATAATAAACATACATACACAAATCTTTCTCCATCAGCATCTGCAAATGTCCCCTATTGCCTTATTAGTGAAACATATCAGCTTCACTTGACATACGTATAGATAAATAATTACACCTCACATAATAAATAATATTAATAATTATATTCGAATTGTCGACAATAACTTCCTAAGGTACTATATTTAATAAGTCCTTAAATATATTTGAGCAGACTCAAGAAACATTTGCTTTTCCTCAATTTCACAATTATTTGAACGATTTCAACCAATCACCATTAATTGGGACTATGTAAAAACAAAACACGGTCATGGTATTAGCAACTCGATAGTTACAAAAACTATATCATTGTTGCTTAATTTTTATCTGTTTACCCTGTTTTTTATCACATGTACCACGAACGTTAATATCAATATGAATTATTGATTCATATTATTTAATTCATTCTTAGTATAAGTCATTGGTTTCACTTCTAAACATTTAAAAAATATTGCCTTCACCCTAAATGGCCTCTGCAGCAGGAGTACGAGTATCCTGCTTATATGTTAAACCCATTGTTGGGGGGATCTTCACGCCAACACTAAGTTTCTAATAACTTTCCTACAGCATTACTTTAATATGAAAAATTTCAGATCAAACCGGCGATAGCAAAATAGCACCATTCAAACTCATTTTCATGAGGTAGTTTTCACCGTTACTTTCCTTCTTTACTAAACTAAGAAGCTTTCTTCTGACTATGAAGTGGTAGGGTTTCATCGTCGTAATCTACTCTGCCTACCAACACGGGTTCCGCACCTTTCTCTTCATGTCCTTGCTGTGGCATGGGCAGCTCTCTCTTCTCTAACTCCTCGGACAAAGCCATGAACAGTTGCCTGTTGGGTTTTAATAAAAACAAACTTATGTACACAAGAAACATATTTAAAAATATTAAAGTGTCTGATGTTTCCAATTAAATGTCGAAAAATCCTGTTCACCTCATACAATTGTCATTAATTAGTGCAAATATTAAGATAAATTTTAATTTCTAACGGCCTCATTGTTATGGTGTTTTAATTTAAATAAGAACTTATTACAGCTTACGTACTTGAACACGACTTCGCTCATGTTTTTAGCGAGATAGTACAGAAATAGCCAGTCAGCGAACTGGTAGCCGTTGACGATACGGATGACGTTGTTAGGGTTGAACTTGCCAGCTGACGCTCTCTTAAATACTATGTCATTGAAACGGTGTGACCGTCTGTATAAGAAGAAAGACAGCGCTCGCCAAATCACAGCTGGAAAGAAACAAATTATTTATTTAAGATAAAATTCCATTTCATCAATGTTGCATTCATTCAATCATGCTTTTAAAAATCCTTAAAAAAACACTTTGTCCCTGGTACTCTGAAATGGGATTCGAATCCCCGACCTTTCGCAATCCGGGCGACTTCAGGGCAAAGTGGATTTTTAAGCATTTTTCATTAAAAAAGAAAAATAATTTCCCAGTATTTTTATTATAATTTAAATTCAAGCGTTGAGATAACGGCACACTCCCCAAGATGACTCTAATGCAAATAACAATTTATTAACATTCTAACAAGATATTTAATTTAGACTTCAGATAATATATATGATAATTCTTCAAAATCAACATACCAAGCACTGAGGCAATAAAAAGGAAGAGCAACCAGAACCAGAGTATAGTGTAGATCTTCTCGTGGATGATATTGAGCGCCATCACGCATAAGGCGTCGTGCTGCTGAATGGAACCACTAGGACCGTACTTGTGAAACACGCATTTTGTTACCTGCATCAATGTTAACAACAATATTTGGTTTATTTATTTATTCATTTAACAAAGTTTCAACAGCAGTTTTGTCATTTCAATACAAAAATAAATAGGCAGCATTGAGCAATTATGGAAACTTATTACGTTTAGAATAAAGGCTCGTAATTAAATAAATGGAAAGATGCTACGTATGCTTACCTTTGGAAAAACAGTTTCCAACGGGTCAGCAATTTGGTTCCAATTCCTAAATTGCAGAACTCTGGGGCCGAGATCAATAAAGTGGCCCTGGAGGAATCTATTGATGAGCCAGATTTGAAACATCACATGTAGGAGATTTAACACCTCCATTGAGACCAGCCACGTTGACCATGTTCTTGATATTCGCAGTCTGAAAAATAACTTGAATTATAACAATTTTGCGTCGTCGATGTAAAGTGCATAGCACACGCAAACTGCATAGTTAAAGCCATTCCTGCTAATAGACCAACAGCTGCACCTGCTTCTGAATTGAGAAAAATAAGAAATCTCAAGTGATTATTCTCAATAAGTTAAGTTTTTTATTCACAAGTCTAGAGCTATCACTTATCGCCTTTATCATGCATTAAAAAACTAAAATAAAACAACTATGAAAACGTCAAACTAATTCATAACATAATATATTTATTATTCTAATTCTAAAAGAATTTAGAACTTCCAAATTTCCACCGCATGCTCCTCCCTTATTTGCAAAAATATTTCCTTCGATCCCTGAAATTCATCAATCCAACAGTGCTATGGTGAAATCACGTCTTCTCAGGATATCAAATACATCATCACATAAACTATTAGCAGTGCCTCTAAACTAATGTAAAAAATCATATAAATCTGTGAGAATATATGAAAAAAATCATGAACATCATGAAGTTGAAAGATTACTGTAAGGTTTTAGTCTTACCTCAATATGATATCTTTCTTGATAAGATTTATTTTATTATCAAGAGTTGTTCTTGAGGGTATCACCTTTCCTGCTACCTCCATATCTTTATCTTCTAGTGCCAGAGCGGCGTATTGAAGACCGTCTACAAGGGCTTTTATTCTGCCTCCTACGGTAAAATAAAAAATGTTATATTATCATACATATTTTATAGAAATATTTCTAAGTCATGATCCTTAATTAAGAGAAAAGTAATCTCTAGGTAATCTATCAACTAGTGATCTAGCTCATTCCATCCACGATACTGAAAACTGAATCAATAATAGAGAACTATTATAAACACCATTTACAGAATTTAAATAGCTAGATAAAACATATACCTAAGCTTTTAAAGTGGCACCACTTTGTTTTGTTAAATCCACATTTTTGTTTGATCAAAATATAATGTCAACCATATAAAAATTAGCTAGTAAATACAATGAAAGTATACATTAAAACAATTTCTAAAGTATTTACAACAATTTCATAAGTGTATTGACTAAACAGTGACCTAAATTTACGAGGATATCCTCGTAAATTTAGGTCACTGTTCACTTGAATATAATGTTGGAAGATAAGATAAGAATCAATTGCACTTAGAACCCATCAAATTTAATCAAAATTTTTAACTGTACAATTCATGTGTTACAGGAACTCTAGAAATCTTTGCTTGTGGCATATGTAATTCAAATTTCATTAATGTTTCCACTGTAGATATGGATAGAAACATATAACCCATCGCACAGTCCCAGAGCATTTATAAAAAAAGTAAAGATTATTCCAGAGGAAGATTCTAACCCCTTCTCATCATCTTGTGCTTACCTTCTTTCTTCTTCCATATGTAATGTGGTAAATAGAAGCAGATAGCCTGTATGAACAAAACGAACGGGACCCATTGATAATATGTGTGGTGGAGGACCTCGTCTGTTGAGGATATCGGCCCAACGCCCGGGTGCGGCAGGAAGCCTGTCTGCAGCAGACTCTCGTTGTAGTGACGTACCTGGGTCATAAAAAACCAAGCTACTTTTAATTACACCATGATCTAAAAAAGGTGATAGACCGTCATAGCACATTGTGATATCCCGCCGTAGATTTGCGAACCGATGGCATAGCTTTCAAATATATTGTCATTACAAAAAATCCCGTTCAGGATTTCCGATAGCTATTTAGAAGAGACAATTTTTCTTTTCTATAAAAGAAGAATGCATCATCGCTGTTCGGTCATATGAATTCACCTGATTATAAAGTTAATATTTGCAAATTTGTCTTGCAAGAGTTTGAGAAATAAAAATGTCGTTGATTTGATAAGTAACTTTATAATTTATGTTATGCAATTTTTGGATTCTCATTTAAAAACAGTAGCCGAAATTGCTGGGGTTTTCGATACAAGATCTCCCATTGTATTTACGAATTTGTATTTACTTATACCGTAATTTTTCAGGTCATACAAGTGTTAATTATGTTTATTTAGAACATTGGCCTACCCATTTTTGGGTAATTCTACCTTCAGCACTGACTTAAAGCTATATGTGAAATAAGAAATTCAAATATATAATTATAAAAAACAGAAATTTTAGCTAGTTTACCAGAACTCTTGCAGGTGACAATTAGAATATATTTATCATTAAAAACATTTGAAATAATGCGATATTTGTAGAGATTCTTTACTTTCGGGGTATGATCATTAAATACTAGGTACATCTAGAACTTAAAATAAAAATTTATATTGAATTTAAGAACTTACTATAGTGAAGGTAGCCATGAAGAAACAATAGCTCTGTATAACTCTCGGTGGCACACCTTGGTCAGAAATACACTGGATGTGATGACCGAAGTACTCTCTGGCACAGACAAGGATCACGAAGGCCAGCAAGATGGTGACGGTCAGTTGATAGTGTAGTTTAAAAACGAAATTTTCGATCTTTGGTTTCGTAGCTTTGAAGTGGAGGCGCGGCGAGAGCGCACCTATCGACGTGAAGAGCATATTGACTAGTCTCTTGTTAACTTGACATTTAAAATAACCTGGAAAGAAAGGTTGGAATTAAAAAAAAACGAAAACTTTACTGTTTCGAATGATTTCTTATTATCATATTCATTGAAACTTAAATAACTTTCATATGATGAGCAAAATAAAAAATAAATAATACTTTTTCCTCGAGCAATATAATGTAGGACTGCTTTTTTACTAAGCATAATACTATCCAAGCTATAGTAAGCTTTCTAAAATATAATCTATACTAATATTATAAAAAGGAAAAGTTTGATTGTTTGTTTGTGTTTGCAACGAAAAGGCTCCGAAACTACTGAACCGATTTTAAAAATTGTTTCACCTACGGAAAGCTACATCATATGCGGTGAACATTGGCTATGTTTTCTCCAGAAAGAACAACAACTAAAGGGATGTAAATAGGAGTGGAAATTTGTATAGGGAATTATAGACTTTACCAAAGGAACAATTGTTAACTATTCAATTTGTCATTGTAATTATATCCTTATCATACGGATATAATTACGGACATGAATCGATATCCGCAAGAAGTTTCCTAGCGACCATGCGGGCGAAGCCGCTGACCGAAAGCTTGTTATAAATAAAATAATGTAATAAATATCAGTAACGTCCTTTAATAATGTTTGTTGTTGTATCGCTAGATGGCGATGATGTTTGTGTGCCCTATATATGTGATAGTTTACATATAATTCTACATCGCATATGTAAGTTCTTTTATCAGATACTTATATACTCCAATTTTTATATACGTATATAGATAAACCTTGCCCATAGAACCTTGTGTTTTATTACATTTTTGCCTTTAAGAGATTTTTACAATAAATTATATTCAACATTTCTAATTTCTGATAATGCCGGAAATACAAAAAATAGTAATTTGTTGTTTACCTATAATTATTTAGACGTCAGCAACCTTGATATTGATAAATTTTTAATTTTGTTTGTGGAATTTTATTTGTCTTTGTACCTATAGTCTTTTAATTTGATCTAATTGTTATATGTTTTGTTATGATTGAGTATTATTAATCTTATACTGTAATTTCCGATACAATGAATATTGTTTATGGAATAAATGAAATGCCACCGATGGCCTACTCACTTTAGTTATTAGTTATAATATACTTTATCACTTTAGTTATATACTTGTCATACTTTCCAAACAGCAAAATTATATTAGAAAGATTTTACATTATTTTTAAATCAACTTATAGATATATACAAATGCATTCAACTTAAAAATGTTATCACACGAGTCATGTGACTTAGCGGATTATAAGATAAACATAAACTTTCAAACTCGAAATCGAATGATAAACAAAACGAACCAGCTACTCGCGATGAAAGCTTTTAATAATAGATTGAAAGAAACTCCTTTATATTAGCAAAGAATAACTATACGACGAAGAACCTTAAAGCACATTTACTTTAAACCTAACCATCTTTCATGAGTGACTATTTAACTTCATATCTCTTAAAGCTTGGTTCCTATAGTTTAAAATTGTGATAATTATGTTACAGTTGTAGGCACATCAAGTCAATTGATGTTAATTTCTTCAAACCATTTTAAACAACAAGAAGTTCTTAATCACAAGCGAACATTAGACATATGCTAAATAACCAATAAGAATACATTTTAATCGTACAGTCTAATGGCAAAGGGAAACATAGAACTCTATTTCTAATTGATTTTAAAATTATAATTTTCAGTGAACTTAAGTGGCACTGCCATAAATAATTATGTGTTCAGAATAAGTTATATTATATAGATATACATTTAAAAAGTATCACATAAACAGCATTCTAGTTAAGTCTAGACTATTCGATTATACGGATAACGTAATACTTTAACATACTCACTAAGTCAATATACCAAGGTCCTTACTGTCTGATTTCAGTTACAGCCACTTCAATAGACCGAACTGAACTTAATACTGAAGAAATCTCAACACTTAAAACATCACCTGGAGTATCAGTATGAACGATAGTTCTCACTCTACTGCCATTGTCATAGTGCGCCGTATCAGCATGATAAGATATGTGTTATATACTCAAAATACTATGATAAAAGATAATAATTAGTACGTAACACTTGAAATTTTACAAATAGATCGTCTCTGTGAAGGTTTGATAGCGAGCCGAGTGGCACACACCGGCTTAAAGGCGCCATGTCTGTGGTAGTTTCGATCCTTGGTTAGGTCAATGTAGAATATGAACTTCTCTTGTTTTCTCAGGCCTGGTTGTTATGGCACCTTCGTTGTCCTGGATACTCCATAATACGAGGACTTAGGCTGCTTACCTTGGAAACTGAGCAATGTATGTGATGTTGTCTATCTTTATTTATTTTATATTTGAATACAGATCAAGATCTAACGGACAGATAGAGTTCATCTCGATAGTTCCAAATTGTGTGTAGATTCCCACTGCAACCTTTACTATAAGAAAAAATCTTTAAAAATTTAATTTCAATAATAAATAGCACAATTTTAATTTTATATATTTTGTTTCGGCAACGGTTTGTTGCCCTGATTTATTTATTTTAGATTTGGATAGAAATCAAGATCTAATGGCCAGATGGGACTCACTTCACTCCATAGTTCCGATTTCTAATATACAGATGCCTAACGCAATAATTATTACAAAATTTTTTTTTTAAATTTAATTTCAATAATTGTGTTTCATTTTTTATTTCAAATTCGCGTCTCATGCGGCAAACGATTTGCGGTATGATTACCTATAATATTTGGGTTAAAATAATCTATTATATTAACCTACTTATACAGATAGGTAGGTATAAATATGTTAATACTTTAAATAACACTTATGAGAAGAAAAATGCATTTCATATCTTTTCAGAGACAATAAAAATTAACTATTGGATCTCGTGATTTTTTTCATATAGTAACATCATCACCATAACGTCATAAAGTAAAAGAGAAACGAGCAAGGTAATACTAGATTTTCATACAGCATTATTGTTTTTGAATGAGGAGTAATGAGCAGCGGCGTCCCATTATTAGTTTGTGTCAAGAAATTTTCAGAAAGTAATATATTCAATATAAATAATAGATTATATTTTTCACTTTTATACTCAAAAATGTCGCCATTAAAGTGTACTAAAGCCAACCTAAAACAGCATTATATTTTCTAGGGGGAAAAGTTTCATTTAATGTTGTGTCTGCCACCAAAGAGCCTACAGAAAAGTCTTCAGTTAAATGAATGTCAAATTATTCCTATCTCAGTAATAAGGTTGTAGAATTATGAATCTCCTTAGATATCCTGTCTAGATGAAATCTCTTTTTTATATTACTAACAGGTGAATCATAATAAATTACATTTGTCCTTTTAATAAACGTAATGCGTTTCCGAGCAATCGTAAATTAATCATGCTTTTATTACTGCATCGTTAGTCATTATTTAAGTGTTACTTTTCCTGTGATCTGTTTGTTATTACAAAACACTATTCATAATGCGGCAGATACAATTATCTCTATTCATTGGCAAATCTAATCTGAATATCTAGTGTTGTTATTGAATCAATTAATTCTGTAATTAAACATCTATTACTTTGTTATCTTATTTTAGTTTCAAACTAATAGTACTTTCTGTTACCCACTCACTGTAGAGATGCTAATTCGCCTGTCTTACCAATTAAAAATGTATCTTTTGGTCCGTCTTAAAATGATCTTTTGGTTGGTTGGAAAGTGGTGGAAGACAGCTCTCTGTTTTTCCTAGTTTGAATTCAAATTCGATACTTATCGTTTATTCACTCTTCATTTCCTTTGTTTATTTTATAATAGAAAATAAAATAAAACTTCTTATCTAAACTGTCTTAATATAATAACTATACTAAATAAAAAATGTCTACCAGATCATTACCAACAGGTAAGGTACCCAGAAAGCTGCGAGCGTTTCCTCTTTGAATAGCCAAACTAATTCTTTGGGCGAGGTGCAAACCAGCCTTCTGATCACCTGACCTGTCAAAAAGCTTTTTTTTACTCTTAGTTGTAAAGTCATAAAACTCTTGTCTCATAAAATGTTTCAATTTTACCAACGACCGTTTAGTTGGCACACACTTGATTCTAACAAAAATTAGCTCTATAAAGCTTAATAAGTCACAAATGGTTGTAATGGTGTAATGTATCACAGAAAAAAAAAATTTTGCCAAAATTCCCGGGAAAACACTATTTATTATGGCACACATATATGACTGACTATATTAAAACTTTTTTACCTTCTACCAAATCGCGTACGTCAGACATATATGTCTGACATGGCTCATGTAGAACTTCGTAGCGTTAGACACATACTGACATGGCGATTAACGTGTTAAAGATTCGTTTTTGTTTAGGATTTAGAATTATTCCTCAGAATGCAAAGGAGGGACTATACAAGTTATTGAATAATTTCCCGGGAAAACACTATTTATTATGGCACACATATATGGCTGACTATATTAAAACTTTTTTACCTTCTACCAAATCGCGTACGTTAGACATATATATCTGACATGGCTCATGTAGAACTTCGTAGCGTTAGACACATATACTAACATGGCGATAAACGTTTTGAAGATTCGTTTTTGTTTAGGATTTAGAATTATTCCTCAGTATGCAAAGGTGGGACTATAGAAGTTATTGAATAATTTCCCATTATTAATTAGAAAAATGAATATAACCTTTAAATCGACAAACGCAATAAGGGATTCTCTTAGCACTTATCCCCCCCACCCTTTATTCAAACACCCTTTATAAAAAAAATTATACAAATTTATTAATGGAGAAAGTGATTTATTGTTGTTATTAATCCTTTTTATAGGGAAATCATAATAGTTTATCCTTCAAAAAGTATCTACGTTAAGCCGTTAATCCTGGCTGCATCTTAAGTCGTTACGGGTGGTCATCCGCATTGGTCCCGCGTGATGGGTCATAGCTTATTCTCCCTATTCGATTCGATTTGATTTCTTCCATAGGAAGGATAGGCCTGAGCAATGGGAACAAATGGAGACATTTATAGGCTGGTGATGTATGTAAGTATTTAAGATGCAATTTAAAAACAGTTTTTAGCGCGCTAATTGTCATCCTCTGTCACTATCTTGTTATATATCTTATTATCGGATGCAATAAGATTGAAAAGGACAGTATATTAACTCAACGCCCACTCTTAACTGAATATTAAATAACTTAAATCATGTCATTTTTCTTTTTGATGTTAGAAATATATCACAGCGACACAACATTGCTTAATTATTCAGATATTACATTGGAACAGGTAGTATTATTAATTTTATGACCTAACAACGTCGGTCGCCATGCAAAAAATTGCAAATGTGTTCCATTAATGACGACATAACCAACACAGGCGCAATCG